AAAATCTTTTGGCTTCCATGGCATGTCATCCTCAACATCAAGACCAAAATCTTCATCTTGAGTAGGTTGTGGAGCTGTTAAGGGAAAGTTCTCAACATCTTCTTCATCAATTAGTATTCTATGCCTCTCATTTCCTTGTTTCTTTTTCTTGTTGGATCGCATGTCCATCTGATTAAAAGACCACAATGATATACTAAGCATCGCTCTGGTAAAATAAGTTACTAAATTGTCCAACTTTCATACCTTTTCTTTTCTTAATTGCTCCAACATATTTTCAGTTTCAGGTGCATTCCCCTTCCATGTAGACCCTTTTGGTGAAAAATCTCTTGGCTTCCATGGCATGTCATCCTCAACAGCAAAACCAAAATCTTCATCTTCATCTGATGCGCAATCTTGAGTAGGTTGTGTCTTATGCCTCTCATTTGTTTGCTTTTTTCCCTTGTCACATTGTTTATCCATCTAATATAAGAAAAAAATATGGATTTTGCCTTTTAGAAGTGAGACAATTACATTATTAATAAGTGAGACAATTACAGTATGAAAAGATGGATTACATAGCAATAAGTGAGACAATTACACAAAACTTAAGCATGACATTGTAAAGTAAGTGAACTAAAAAAGATGGATTTTACCTTTTTCTTCTTACTCTTAACTTTTCCAGTATTAGAAGTGTCTTCTTCACTGTTTTGATTAAACTGATAAAAAAACAGAAAAATCACAATTGATAAAATAACAGAAAAGTCACAATTACAGAAAAATCAGAATTACAATAACAATAACTAATTACATAGCAAATGAAATGATTACCTTATGACAACCTCTTGCATTGTGTCCAAGAATTCCACAGTTTGAACATGTCATTTTTCTCCCTTTTCTTGGTGCAAGCCACTCAGTTTATCTCTTAAGAGCTTCATCTTTATCTCTTTTCCTATTCATTCTAGGTCTGCCAACTAAGTTTACCAATTCTGGTGGTTCCATTGCCTGTTCAGCTTCAATTTTCCAGAACTTTTGACCAGGCATTGGTTGTAGCTTACAATGGTAAGTCAAAAGATATGCCTCCTTAGAGTACCACCAGTGAATCTCTTCCAATGGATCAAGACTCTTGTAAAAAAGAGCCTTGATTGAATGGGGTCATGGTATTCCAGTAAGATCCCATACCCTACAAGTGCATTTCTTAGCTGTCAAATTGACAATGTGTCTGTCATTTCCTTCACTTACCTCAAATCCATCATCTCCATTGAAATTTAATTCATACACATTAACAATCTTCAAGAATTCATTGTACATTTCAATAGTTGTAGGACTCCAATCATAGTTCCAAGTCATCAGTTCATTTTCATTTTTGACAAACTTGGTCATAACATTGATTCTTATATCCTCAAGCATACTAATTATTGGCTTGTGTCTTGCTTTTAATATCTAAGAGTTAAATGACTCAACCAAATTGTTTTCCACCTTATTGTTCTAGCAAACAATGTCAAAAAATACTTTACACCAACTTTGTATTGGAAAATGCAAGAGATGGTGTTTTGCTTCTTCAGACAGTTGACCTAATGTCTTCAAATAATCATCCAACTCCTCTTTGTAGGTGTTTCATGCACACCACCACAATACCTTAGTCATCATTTTAGATCTCTTGCCTTTTTTTCTCCAGTTGGCCTCTATGTGCCTCACACAAAATCTATGCATAACATTAGGTAAAAATATTTTTAACAACTTCAATTAACCCCTGTTTATCAGTACAAGACAAATGAAAATACATAAGAAAACAAATAAAGATATATAAGATACAATAAGAATGAATAAATAAGCGACATACATGAAAATTTGCCTTTTGCATATCAGACATGAATGTGATTCCTTCTCCACTGTTGATGTTTAGAGACTTCTGAAGTAATTCCAAGACCCACACCCAAGATGTCTTGCACTCTCTGTCCATAATAGCCCAAGCAATAAGATAGAAATGGTTCATTGAGTCTTGACCAATAGCAGATAACAGTTGACCTTTAGCTTTACCCTTAAAAAATGTACCATCCAAGCCAATGAAAGGTCTCAACCTATTCTTAAATCACTCTTCAATGCATCAAAACAATTGTACATCCTCGGAAATTTTCGTTTTCCATCTTCTTATGCATTTCTTAAAACCTTAAGGACAACATCAGTTCCTGGATTACTCTCTTTTAAAGCATTTGCATACCCAACAATTTTCTTATAATCATCACACAAACTGCCTTCCATGTCCTCCAAAATCATTCTTTTAGTTCTCTTACACTTTTCAAAATGAGCATTAATGTTGAAAGCATTCATATCAACTCTCATTTCCTTTATCTTGTATTTGGGATTAGCCTTAAACTTCTCCTTAAAGTAAAAGGCCATTGTAGTTGCACTGACCTTATAGTTACCACATGGATCCTTGCATTTATTATGCTCTCCTTTCAGTGTTTTCACTCTAACACCGGCAACATGCTTTTCACCAGAAATTAGAGATACAAAGTTGCATTTATCTTTGCAAACAACCCTAAGTCATTTTCTGTCACTTTTTTAATGGTTAAATTATAGCCATTTGCCAATGAATGCAAACTAATGTATCTTCTAGCTTAAGCTATTTCCTTAAATATCATTGACTTGTGTAAATCCTTGTAATCACACAAGCTGCCATCAATTATTCTCCTCCTTTCTTGTGCAAGAACATTCAATTCTTCAGAATTATAATTAGAGTTATCATTGGAAGTATCACTATCATTTTCAGTACTATCAGAAGCACAATCAGTAGATACATCATCAATAACTACCACAATCTCTAACATTTTAATTATATTCTCAACATCAACATCTAACTCACTATCATCAACAATAAATAAATTAATTACATGAAATTTATCATTAACAAAGGACAATAATGTCCTAATCCCCTCATCACCTTCTATTTCATAGTATTTTTCAGAAGGGACAGATAATAGTAACTGTTGCACACCCACATAACCTAATATATTAATGTACTCATTAATAATACTTATGTAAGATAAAAGATCAGAATCATAACCTTCCCATTTGTGAACAAACTTTCTTTCATAGAGCAATTTAGGCTCTCTATCCATTTCCCACTACAGTGATATACTAGATCAACCAAAATCATTTTTAGGCAACCTAAGACACACAAGAAACAACATTAACAACTTCCAAAAGCATGAATGAGACAAAATAACTAAGAAAAGAAAAACAGAACACATAAAAATGCACACAATCAAGGGACACAAAGACAACATTAACAACTTCCAAAAACAGTAATAACATTAACAAAACTCCTAAAAGGCACACAAAGACAACAAGGGACCACATTCAATAAAAATAAACATTAACAATTAACAAACTATAAATAAAACAAACAAATAACTAAGAAATTTGGAGAAAAAAGGGACCACATTCAATAAGAATGAATAAAATATTGGCCCCACATAAAAAAGGGAGCATGTTCAATCAAGAATTTCCCAATTAAATATTGGGACCAGAAATCAGCCCATACTCAATAACATCTCCAAAACCTATACCATCTCCTCCAAATTCATACAATACCCTAAAATCTACCCACAAACCCTAAATCGTAAAAAAGCAAACAAATAACTAACAATCGTGAAATTTTAGATGTAAAAAGGTAAATCCATAACTCAAAAACCTTAACCCACAACATCAGCACTCGTAAATCAACAACTAAAGTAACAAATCGTTAATTTTTAGATGTAAAAAGTCAAACAAATAACCCAAAGACAGATACTTACAAACCCTAACTAACAGATCGTAATATATATCGATAAAAAGGCAAATAAATGAGTCAGAAAGACAGATACCCACAAACCCTAACTAACATATTGTAATACATATCAGTAAAAAGGCAAACAAATGAGCCAAAAATTTGGAGACAAACCCTAACTCGTAGTCAACAACGAAAGAGATGCAGGAAGAACGAAAGATTATTGCCGTAGACAAAACATCTTACAATCCAAAAATCTTACCTTTCGTTGGCGAAAAATCGATTTGTTGAGTAAGATCGCCGTAGAAATTTAGAGGAGAAGTTAATGGGTAAATTTGGGAGATAATGAGATTATCTAAAGAGAGAGCATGAGTAAATGGGAATGGGTAATTGGGTTAATTGGTTCCGGGTTATCCTAGAGGGGGTCGGATCATTGGGTTAAAATTAGGGAATAGGTTTTTTAAAAAAACATCCGGGTAATTAGGTCAATTTGGATCAATTTTGGGAATTCCGTCTAATGAGGGGTAATTTTGGTGAAATTAGTAACGAGAGGGGTAAAATTAACTTCATTTTAACGGCGAGGGCAAAGTCAAACAATAAATCAAAGTTGAGGGATATTTTTGACCCTTTTCCCTAAAAATAATGCATGCATTAGTGGTATATTGTTTGATACATGGATTTTTATTATTAGTAGTGCAAAAGAATTTAATATATGTATTAGTATTGATAAAGACCCACTACCCTTCAAAACTCCTTTTATATCTTTCCATCATAATTTTGAAAGATATTTTTATACAACGCATGCTATTTTTAGTAGATCAAATCAAATAATGCATAAGAAACAATTTATATATAATTAATACAAATATAACTAATAAAAACATTATTAATACACCCTATTTAACATTGTTTTCATGCAGCTTACTAAATGACCCCCCAAAATAAGTAAGTACTAAATGCAGTAACAATAAAGTGAAAAGTAAATATTTATTTATCCTTAACCGGTCATTATAAATTTCTAAACATTTTCCTTCCAACCAAACACACGTTCACCTAAATATTTGCCTATTTTTTTTTTAGGAGAGAGGTCGTGCCGTCCAACCGACGATTACGGGTGTCTCCGTGGGTCCCTTTTTTTTTTACGACTGCTGCCCAAATATACTCTTTTTAGCTCCCAAAACCCCCTCGGGGACACACAACACAAAACAAAACAACACAACACTCATACACTTTCTCTCTCTAAATTCCTCCCATTTCCATGGCTTCAACTCGCGAGGGTCACTACAGAGGAGTGAGAAAGCGTCCCTGGGGCCGTTACGCCGCAGAGATTCGCGACCCATGGAAGAAAACACGTGTTTGGTTAGGCACTTTCGACACTCCCGAAGAAGCTGCACTCGCTTACGACGGCGCCGCCCGTTCACTCCGCGGCGCTAAAGCCAAAACCAACTTCCCTCCTCCTCCTCCTCCTCCTCCGCCGCCTTCTTCCGTTCCTCTTCCAATCGACCTCAACCTTCCATCTGATCACCGGTGGACTTCGCCCTCCGGACGTAGACTCATGATTGGGGAGTTTCTACAAGTAGGTCCGCCGCCGGAAGTGAACTTGCCGGTCACCGGCGCCGCGCCGGCGAAGGAAAATGACGGTGGAGCTGCGGCTATGTATTTTGGGTTCGTGAGACGTGGGTTGCCTATTGACTTGAACGAACCGCCGCCGTTGTGGATGTGAGGCGGCAGCGGATAATTAATGACTTGGTAAAATTACTTTTTCGTTTTTTTCTTTTTTGTCATTCTCTCTATTTTCAAGCTTTTGGGAGAAAGGTAATTCCTATGACTATGAAGAATCCTTGAGATATTATTGTTATTAGGAGGAAACATCATTATGTAAATACCTTTTTTATTTTAATGTTGATCCTAATTCTCTATCTTTTTGCTTATCATAAAACTGAAGAGAGTTTGTGTACTTTATGGTATATATAGTGTAATATTTTGTGCAAAGAGTTGTTGAGCATCCACGATCCATTCTAGATCCGCACCTGAGATCATTCCACGTGTGAAAATATACGTACATGTTTGATATATTAAATTAAATTTGTGTTTAATTTCACCTTTTCGGGTGGCGCATGAAGGAGCATTACAATTAATTAGGTCAGTATAGAAAAAGGGTAAACGCAGAAAGGTGACTAATACTAGATAATTATTATTATAACCAACTTAGGGTGAAAAATCTTACATAGTATCAAAAGATCTGCCTAGTTCATTCTCTAAATAGTACAAATTTAAAATGAAAAGTAACCTTAAGACAATAATGTACTCGGCAAAAAGAATTATTTTTCACCTAAATCTACTTTCAATATGAACTAGCAAGCTGTTATGCATACAGGTTCAGTTTTTTTCTCTATTTTCCATTGTTGTGTAAGTTATAATGTTATTGTACTATTTTATTCTTCTAATTACATTCACTTTCTAGTGGGGTCCATTTTGATTGTGATGAGTACGTGTTGGTAAGAGATTAACTTAATTAGTTTATTAATTATCCAAGACATGAAGTGCTAAATAGATTTTAATATGGTGGATGATTGACTAAAATTGGTTTTAATGGATAAAAAGTGGATGGGGTACGAAATCCAATCAAGAAAAGGCAAACTTTTAAGTATATTTTGGTGAAAATCAGTGTAACTTCTACTACTGTTAGAGCTCGAACTTTATTTTTGGCCAAAAATAAAAACAAAAAAACTTTCGGTGCCACTTTTGCATTTTAAAAAAAATATATTAAAGCTATGAATTAATTTGATAATAAGTTCAATTCAATGAATACCGGCACTAATTTTCCGGTACCACTTTTCATTTTTGAAGAATTTCAACGTTTGTCTTTAGAAGATGATGATTTCTTCTATCCGCAAAGCCAAATGAAAGTAAAGGGATTCATCCTAACTTTTTGAAAAATTATATTATATAATCAAGATTTAAAATTAAATGTTTAAGTATATATATATATATATATATATATATATATAATAACTGTTAATTTTTTTAGCATTTTTAAGTGTTTATTTTTTATTGTTTTAAACCTCCTTAATGTAAATTTTGGCATCACTAGTTCTACCATATTAGAACTAATAAGTTGGAACTCAAAAACTTTGTTTTGTTTCCAACGTTCATGTTGATTTTGCAATGGAAAAACTTAAACTTACAATTATTCTAATTGACTTCAATTAATAATAAATTTCAATGTACGCGAGAATGCAACTGTGGAAAAAGAATAGTAACTTTATAACTAAATAGTATGTACACCATTCAATATATATTTGTCTCGTATTTCTAGCTAAGGGGTCCATTTTATTGAGAGTACGTATCAGAAAAAACAGTAGTAACGTTATAAAATAAGTCATAAAATATACTGCTAAATAGGTTATAGTAGAGAGGAATCTGATTGATAGAATGTAACACATTGAAGGGGTCAGGGGGCAAAGAACTTTTTTTTTTTTTTTTTTTTGGGACCAACCAATTAATCCCCAGAAATTGGGGTTATTAATGGATAAGGTCTTCTTTTTTTGGCTTTATGAAATGGGGTATTCGTGGGGCTACATGTAGGTTATATAATATGAAAAGAAAGAAAAGCTTAAAGTGAGACATAAAAATAGTGTAGTGAATGCCTTATTAAAGCTTGATTTATTTTAACAATATTTTAATTATTTTTAAGTATCTGTTGGTATTGGTCGGTCCAGTCTTTGAAGTTTACTTCAACAAATTATCCATGTAAAAAAATGATTCATACCGTTTTACCTAAAAGGATGGAGAAGTTCTTTAACCAAATGGAGTAATTAATAAGCACAAACATTATAACATAAAAAAAATGTAATGTTTGTCAATAAAGTATATCTAAACAAAGAACAAAGCTTTTAATACCAAGAAAAGATTTGCCGGTAGCATGCATGCAGCTGATAAATGGTAATAATTAATGATTACAATAACTGTTTTAGTGTGATATTAAAGTTAATGACAACGACAGTTTAGGTGTAATATTACAAATAATTAAGTATCTTGTATAGTGATTAATGGGGCGGCTTGTCATCATAGGTTAGTCAAACATTTTACTGTTCCAGATTTTAAATTATTTCAACTTTTCTAAATTAATACTATAGAATTGTGACAATCATTGTATGTTGAATTGGTCAAAAATAATAAAAAAATCTCCGTTTCAAGTAAAATTAAAGCTCGCAGCAACACTGGACCAAGTCATAGATTATATAGAAATTAGGAAACTTGACAAAAATGAAATAATTTTCGAGTTATCACCAAAAGCTTACTTTTTTAAAACAACCAACGTGGTGGGCTCTACATAAATAAGAAACAGGAATAGAAAGAACATTACGTAATATTTCATGCAGAGAACCAATTGAAATTTGAAAATGATCGTATAAATACAACTTCTAAGTTATATTTAAAATTTTATTGATAGAATATTAACTTCAAAATATAATGAAAAAATAAATAAAATTATGACCCAAACGAATTTTAAATCTTACTTCTTCTGATTAATTATTATATTTTAGAAAATTAAAATTTATATATTCGAATATACATTAAAAAAATGAAGTAGTTTTTTGGCAGTTACACAAGAAAAACTAAGAAATTAACACGTATGGGAAGTGAGAAAAAACAAAACCAGATGACGCATTAAACAGTGAATTTCCAGCAGTAGTACTGCAGACAGATTAAACAAAATTTCAGAAAACAAAAAGTACGACACGCAAGTTTTAACTTTTTTCATTTGGAAGTTTTTTTTTTTTCTTAATAATTTAAAAATATTATAGGAAAAAAGTGTAATGGATAGGTACCTAATAAAGCGTCAGGCGCAGTATAGCAGGCAGATTTGTTGTCAATCTATTTACTACTTTAACCCTACTACCCACTCGACCGTCATTTCATGTTTCAAATTTACCTCTCTACAAAATTATGTTGAAATCAAATTTAAAATATGATACTATTTTAAGTATGTGATTTATTAAAATTTGACTAAATCTGAATTCATGCCTTCATAATAAAGATTATTTTGTACTCATGAAATTCGAAAGAATACTTATAATTTCATCATAATTCTCGCTTAATATTATCGGCTCGTTAATTAGGTGCACGAGCAAAATGGTTATAAAACGTTATTGTGAAGGCGTCTGGTGGGACCAATGAGATGCCACGCGCCTCTTTAATCATTATTACCGGCTTCACGGCGCCGTTTACCTGTACTCCCTTCTTTTCAACCTTAGCTTTTTTTTTTTCTTTTTTTCTTTTCTCGTTGTCCGGGTGATTTTTGGTTTATTTATTTGATAATACTAAATCAATTAGTATAAATTTAGACTGAGTCGTGTGGTCACCCAACTTCAAAAAGGTCCCGTGTGATTTATGAACCCATTTTAATATGGAGGCCCACCTCTAGAAATCATAATTTAGAAAAAACTTATTTAATTAAGGGAAGAGGCATAGATTTCCCCTGAACGTTAATGGCTGATTAATGATTATATCTGATTAGAAAATCAGATTTATAATAAGTATATTTTCATGAATAACACAATATGATCGTTAGCTACTATAATCCTAAGACATAGGGCCTTCTCCAACTCTTCTTAAGATTGCGTCGTCATATAATTTAATTCAATATCTTACTATATGAACTGACCACAAAGTCATGTGTTATCCATGTCTATATTTTTAAGGAAAAATACATAAATTTGTCTCTGAATTTGTCTCGAAAAGCTAGCTACACGCTTAAATTATCATGGTGATCTATTAGACACCTTAACTACTCAAAAGTGAATTTATTGCCACCCTGAGACATGTAACACCACTCTCACATTATGTGGTGTATTACACTCGCTATCACATCAGCGCTACGTCAGCGTCATGTCATAGATTATAATTTTTTCTTTTCTTTTCTTTATTAATTAACTTTTCTTTTGTTAACTATATTTTACTCTAACTAATCTCTAATTAATTGTTTTAATTCTCTAATAATTATATCTTCTTCATCACTAATTCAACCCATTTTCAATTCTCATTTCATCGAAAAATCATATCCGGCCCTACCTTTACTATTGATTTTGTTCTTCACCACCACTATATCACCTTCAATTCTTCTTCTTCTTTGTCACCCAACACCAAATATCACCACCATCATTGTCAATATCGATTTTTTCTTCTTCACCACCTTCAATTACCTCTTTTAATGTTTGTCACCCGCCACCCATCACCATCGAACCCATAAACCTGCTATTACCACAAAAACGAAAAATTGATTAACAACCAAAAAATCTTTAACAAAGTAAAAAAATATGAAAAAAAATAGAAACAATCAATCAAATTTTTTCTAGATAAAATACAATTATTCAGTAACAAATCTATGGAAATTAACCTAATTGCGAATCAATAAAAAATTGTGCTTTAAGATTGTGTAAAAAATAAAGAAGTGTGATGAAAATAAAGAATGAAGAAGAAAAAGACAATGGGTGGGGTTTGAAGAAGAAGAGGTGTGGGGGGTGGGGGTGGAAAAGAGGATTCTAACTTCTTCTTTTTAACTTTAATTTCAAACTGACGAGCATATTTTCTAGTTTTGTTTTATTTTTTTGTCACGTCAGTTTTAAGGAGTAAGAAAATTCACTTTTGAGTAGTATATGTGTGTATAGGTCACTATGATAATTTAAGTGTGTAACTGACTTTTCGGGACAAGTTCAAGGTTTATGCCTTTTCCCTAGTAATTATTATTATTATTATTATCTATATATAAATGATTATGTATCTTACAACTAATTAAGAATTTTCTACCACATATTGAGGAAA